AGAACAGGCTTTATTGACCAATCAGAAGCCAGAGCCACGCGTCAGGCGCCTTCCATCCGAGTCCACCGCGCTGGCCACGATGCTCATTATATACTGCACCTCAGTTGTGTCCTCCTCTGGTTGGCTGCTTACCTTCCTCGCATGCCATTGGAACGCAGAGAGACACAGGATTGGCTGAGGCCAGGTGGTCCAACATGTCTGCGCCCTAATCCGACGCCACTGTAGGTTTCGGGCCCATTGTAAGAACAAGAGTGAGAGGTAACGGATAACTTTACTAGACACAAAAGGCACTACAGTCTGGTCACAAACTGGTCGGTCCGCACAGAGAAAACAGGGGCTTTATATATCCTTGTCCTGTTCTTCCTGTTCTCCCGTTGGTCCGTTTCGCGTCGCTACAATGGAGACGGAAAACTCGTGAGCGGATTGGCTTTCAGCCCCCGGCGCGTCATTCCATGCCCGCACGCCGCCACGCAGCCGGAAGTCACACCCCCGGTCACGTGACGTCGCCTCCGCGCCGTACTGACTACCCTCACCAATATGGCTGCCATCTGTCAGTCCGCTACACCACACCACACCACTGCATTGCAACACAGACATCATCTTGGGCGTTTTGGGGTTGGTTTTTATTGTATTGCACTTTTTTAAGAGACTTCTTATGATTTAAATGACTTGCCTCTTATTCCGTGTGCCCTCATTGCTGTCACATGGAACGTGCGCAAACCACGTTTTCTGCCCTGCCCACTTTTATTAATTTCGAATTTTTTTCTGATTAATGAGTTGAATCCACCCGGAAGATTACCCACAGCAATTACTCACACTTTTCTATAAAAAGATTCGTTTTTTAATGTCACGCTGCCATTCCAGTTACCGATCTCAATGTCCTCTGAGTTGTCCTTTTTATCGTGTTTTGTATTCTTTCAAGCCTGACTTGTATATCAATAGTCCTGAAAACTGGACATGCATCACGGCCATTACCTATGGCTCTTGTGTTAGCAGAATCTAGGTAAAATACTTCTTCCATCAAACCTCTCATTACCGTTCTAGGGATGCCCCTTGACCTTTTTTTCCTCGCAATACTATCAAAATATCGTTGTGAATAGTACACTGCCCTTGTTTTGCTTTATCGTAAATCAAGCGACGCCAATGCTTAGACGGTCTCTGTGACTTCAAATGGCCTTTTTATCATGTATTAAACCTGGATCCAATGTTTGTCTTAAGTTAGTGTAGTTTCCACGCCATGGAGGCGCCCGAATTCGACGCTGTCAATGGCTCACTGAAGAAACGGTCAAGTGGTGGAAGCAATACAGGTATTCTCTACGGACTGCGTCGTGCCTTTTTCAACCTCCTTAGACCCCCACAGCCAGCTCTATCACCGTCAAAGGTCGTTCATCAACGAAAGAACATGACTCTCCCAAGAATGCCCCAGGCGGATGTCGATGCAGATGCTCAGATTCTTGTCACCGAACGTCTTCTTTCACCAGTTTCAAACACAAGTCTTCGTCAATTTCACATCTGCTCGGCTTATACGCAAACCCCGGAATCTGTTCGAACTGAGTTTATCGAGCTCGACAGGTTATCGGGCGGCGGTGGCGGCGAAGTGCTGCCACATGACGCGACGACCCAGGGCAATGGTCATGCCTTTTGTGCTATACCCCTGGAGTTGGACACTTTCTGCGACCACTGCAATCAGCCCATTTGGGGTCTTGGCTGGGGACCAGTATGTCAACGCTGTGCAGGTGTGTTGTGTCTGCGTTTTTTTTTATGACATTCACTGCTCAATTTTCCGGATTTTGTCGGTAAATACTTTTTTTGTTATTCTGGTTATTCAAATCAGATTTGCTGCTTGGTTAAATTTTAGACTCAAACGCTTCATTTTTCTATGTAGTGCTCTACCTGAGGCATATGTTTTACACTCTAACAAGTCCGATGGGTATATAATTTTCACATTAGTTTTTTGTGGATCCGAAGATCACTGCTCTTTTTATTATGTAACTTGTACTATCGCCAACTGGTACTTTTATTACCATGAATACAAGTGCCACCGTTGTATATAAAGCAATTGTTTAATTACATTGACGGAAAACAGCTGTGGAATGTTTTGTGCGGCATTTAAAGCTCGTCGGATTACACGGTGGCATAGAATTGTAATTTTTTATCAAGGTTGTTTCTCGTGCTCGAAATAAACACTACTATAATTCGCTATAATTTATCGTAAACCAGTTATCCTCGCAAATGTCTGATAGTCACTCAGCCAACCAACTTGATAAATTTTCTTCACATTCACGGAGTAGGCTTAGAATTCCAAGCTGGTATCGCGCTAAAATATCCCAATCTCGATTATTTACTTAGGCAAACTGCTGAGTGTCCAATTTCAATTAACCTTGCTGCCTCTGCATCCCTCTTATTCACTTCGCCCTTGATTGCGTGGATTTTGGGCTTATTAAAGGTTTACACCTGTCATGTGGCAAGTGGGCCATACTGGCCAACGTCTCAAAAATGCAACGAAATGTCGTAGCAACGTGGCCACATATTAATCTAAACAGTGAATTGCATCAAAATGTGCCCTACCTACTAGTTTAAGCCGGTTTGTTTAATTGACTCATTATTTTTACCTGTCTAAGTGTTATTTGGACTGAGGGGGGTTTTTCCGCTGTTTATTTCCTTTTGTAAAACGGGGCATTCCCTCAACGTCCGAAATCGGTGTATTTTAGACTGTCACATGACCTGTCACTGGTTATGCAAAGACAAGGTCAGCATACCATGCGAGTCTAGCCCACCACCAGCCCGCACTGCCCTCGGCGACAGCAGTGGAGATAGTGAAGGAGAAAATGTCACCCATTCTCGCAAGGCGACCCCGCCGACACCTCATCAGGTTTGTGTCACTGCATTTGTATTTGCATTTGTTCATCCTACTCACATCGACTTCTGTCGACGTTTTTCATTAGACAAGTAAACTTGAAGCGCCCATTAGGGTTTTAATATTTTGCATGAAATTTTGTGATGAAGTAATTCGCCTTGTTGAATTGAAATGATTAGTGCAATGGCACTAACCGATTCTGTTAGCGATTTTATTTTTTGTGTCGCCCCTAGCGCCAAATTGCCAGCTGGATGCCCGTTTTGTTTGTTGCAGGCATCTTCGTGTGCCAAGTAGTTGCTCCGTTATCTGTTTCTCTTGTGGTGACAGCCGATTACGGAATTTGTCGAAAATCATGGCCAAATTAATTGTGGTAGATACTCGACAATCCAACCCCCAAGTTGAAAGATCGGCAAATAATTTATCTCTAAACTGTCGCAGATGGGTGAAACTCGATCTTGTAATCTGTCCTTCTGACCTTGTGTACAGGTTGCAAATCCTAAAGTGAACAACTTAATATCCCGCCGCATCCTTGGTTTTCTGATTTTCCGTAGGTTCTTCTGGTACACATTCGAGTTAAAGATATTTGTTAGACGTCAGTAAAAGTTTATTTACAGAAGTCGCTTATTCTTAGTGATTTCTAAATCTAAAGCACCGTTTTGGTCTTTGCTTTTTTCTCTGAGATCTGAGGAAACGACACTGCTAGTGCTTGCGATTCCGTTGCCCTCTGTACATGTTTTATTGCCATTTACTACTAACGCATATTGGTATACATACAGCACTCTCCTAAAGCATGGAGATTTGTGGAAGCTGTGTTCAACTATTTACGGTTTGGAAATGTGATTTCTTAATCTCGACATTAGTTACATTATTGGAGTCGCCATCTCACCGCTAAGCTACTAAAATTACTGTATAAAAATTACACGAATTTTGTTGTTGTTCGTGCTGTCAGAGAATGCGTGTTTTGCTGTAAATACTGACCTTTCAGAATCGCATTCGATTGTACGTATGTTTGGATGCTACAAGCCAAGAAAATTCGAAAACGACCTATGTTGAATGTATGATACTCACCAACGTCATCTCTGCATATCAATAAATTTAATGAATGAGGCTTTGTGTGTAAAAAAAACCTTAAAAGGCATTAGTAATAAAACGCGAAATCGCCAATTACTCAACTATGATTCGTACCGAGATTAATGTCTTCTGCGTTCCCATTTTTTTAGAACATTTTACGATCCGCTACCCAGAATGGTGCGTCACGTGCACTTTCCTTGAGTGTTGATTCGAGCGAAGAGGACCAAAGGCTAGTCGATGATGACCGTCAACGCTGGCCTACCGTAGACGTGTCCGCTGCTGCCGACGGACCGCTCACTCAAGCCCTTCCATTGGCTAAGGGTGATGGTAGACGACTCCAAGACCCTAACGACTCGGTCACTCCTTCCTCTCGCACTATGCGACCGGCCTCCCAGTTCAGTCTGTTTGCTTCATCATTTAGTAAGTCGTTTTTGAATTCTCAAATTGGGAAAGATGCGAGACTTTCTATGGAATCGGTGACCCATTCGTCTGTCTAATTACATGTATGTTTTTTTGTCCATCCCGTGTGTGTACTTTTCTCCAAAGCTCTCAGTTCAGTGAAAATTGTCATGATCATAATGGATTTACTTCGTTTCTTTAATTTCCTCTGGTTTGTACTTTATTTTCAAACTACGTCAAACCACTGTCCAAGCTATCCCAAGTGTTTAAAATTAGGTACAATGCCGAAAAATGAAATAGCGAGCTGCCGTAATTGTTTGATTTCATTTTCCTCAGTAGTCCGACATAACAATGTAGGTACATTAGACACAGTCGGGGAAACCCTGACATTCTATGGGCTTATGGAGCCTATTGTTAATAATAATCGTGGAACCTTTTTTGGTTGTTTAAGTAGTGAACGCAATAATGAATTCTTGCTTGATACAAGGATTCTTGTAGATTACATTCGATGTATTGCAAATGATAGCCTCGTGACTCGGTACACACCGTCTGTTACCAGAAGGTTGGTCGGCCAGTGAGGATACCTGGTCATCCATACTCGGTATGAAGAGGCGGGTTTTCGTGGGGGCCACTCGGTTGCATTATGCGCAAATTGGAGACTTGCGAGGGCACGAGGGGTGATGGCTCATTGCACACAGAAGTATTCAGTTTTTAAAATGCTTAAATGTGTGTAATAGCATTATTCGTCGGAATTTTGCCGTCGAAACAGTACCTCCTTCTGAGGTTTGGTTCTAATGCCCATACTCCAAGCCTCGTTCCATAAATGCAGTCTCCTGGTTGGTTGTTGTCCCCTTTTTCAATTAATGAACTGGAGTCGTCGCGTTCAATTGTTTACTCTTCCTCGCTACATTGTGAATGTATGAGTCTGTAATGTCCTTAAGATTTCGTTTGAAGAGCGCTTAACGTGAATAATCTTTGTGTTCCACGGATACTTTTGCGTTAACTTGTTTGTTTAGGACTGTGTGTATTATATTTGCTTATTCATTCTTGCCATCGTGCGCCAGTCACCGCGTTGTCGAGCCTTCTGAATCATGTCCTTCATTTGTGAATATTTTCCCCTATGGTTTTGACCCGACGCCACTACGTAGATAGGGTATTTTAAAAATTGCGTCTTAAAGTAGGCAGTGATGTCTGGGCTAAATTTGAGATTTGGCAATGCTGATTTTAAGTAACGAGCAATCCACGAAATTGTAATTTTTCCTCTTCTTGTACATTTCCTCTTTGGTAACCGCTTCATCCCCGTTTCTACCGCACAGTTTTCTTACACTAACCAATCACCCTATCTTGAGTTCCAATCCATGATTTGACTTGCATGAAACTTGGATTTATGTAGTTACATAACCCACTTAGTTTGTCGTCAAATCATTCTTTCACAAGTAGCCAGAATGGGAATATCACTGTCCTGGTTACCAAGATGGACCTTACACCTACTGCTTCCATCCCGTGAATTCCACGTTGACAGTTCCAATAATCGGGAAGCAATCGACTACATAGTGTGTGACCCACAATTTCATGTTTTATTTCCCAGTTTACAGTCTACTCTCTGGCTTTACTCTTTTTATCCAAGTTATATTCCAAATGAACAATGGCCTAGGCGATGCAGCGAAGGCGCTTGGCGAAAAAAAGTAGTTTAGTCCTGCTTTATTGTTCTTCACTGTGCCATTTGACTAACTGACACAGCAGTCGCATACGTTCTACTTTTCACAGCCTTTAAGCATTTATCACCTACTTCACTGTATGACGTCTCCTTCCAATCCTTCCCACCTGACCTCCCTGCCCACGCAAACATAACCCGGGGCTTTTTGTAGAGATATTTTGTCATATCAACCACGTCGTTGCTTCGATTTCAAAACTGATTATTGTGTGTCTTTGCTGCATTTTCTTCTTAAATTTAGCTGACAGAAGTTTGGATCTAGGTCAAGTCTCCGAGGAACCATCTCCGCCACCCCAAGGTGCTGTTGAAGATTCCGGCAACTTCAGGACAGCCCGACACCAATCAATGCTGCAACCAAGACGTCGGCACCGCACCCGCCAACTGTCCGAGGTATCGAATCGCCGCCACACCACCAATGGCTTATCCCTGAACTCCACCACCGCAGTTTACGACATAAGCAGTCTGGATCAGCGCGACATCATTCAACGTGGCATCTCGGTGTGGCACTTGAGTCCCACGGCGACAAAGCAGAAGCCGCCTACCGTCGAGCCCATCGTCATGAGCACGAGGATGCAGGCCACACAGACAGCGGCGGCAACTGGATGCCAGACTGGCTGTGAGGAGATCACCTACGCTAAAGTCACAATCGGACCTCTGAAAGCCGCGCTGCCATGGAAGCCTATGGAGCTTGCAAGGCGACTCGACATCTTCAATGGCAATGAATTCGGACTCACTGCTAAGATGGTTGTTGCCCGTTTTGTGGATTATATTTCTTGGACTCTAGCCTTTCCTTACTTTTAGCAGAAGATTTACCTCTTATCTTAACTCAGGAGTGTCTAATAACTTTATTCTTGCGTAATTTGGCTTAACTCAAAGATTTTGTACACCGAGCAAACCAGGCTTGTAACCAAAATATTTCTCCCAATTTCTGTAACGCGTCTGAACTTGCCTCTTTTGTGCTTCGAATGTTTCAACAATTTGCTCCGTTAATTGGATTCTAGATTCCCTCATTGCCCCCCGGTGACTGCGAGGGTCAGGTGCGCGTGCATATCAACCTCATCCGTCCCATCCGCATGCTTCTCACTTCCCGGCCGCCTTCCATCTTCGATATTGTCAACAATGACGCTGACCTCGGCTCCTCTAGCGACGAGGAAAAGGAGGACGTTTGTGTGCCCTCAGAGATACCCCCTCCAGGTCCTGTCAGACTCCGAAATAAGGTCCCTCCACAAGTCTCCTCCTTCCGGCTTCCGCGTGGTAGCTCAAAGCTGCTGCATGTCCGATTGTAAGGTCTTATTTCCCCCAGTGTCGGCAGCCTTTAGTGTCCTATGGTTTTCCTTTTGTGATAAACTTAGATTTAAATCGGTTTTAAGGTATGCCTTCAAAGCACTTGATTGAGTACTTTGTGCCAAAACTTTGCAAGGGACTTCCACGTCTTTTTGAGGGCTGACATCTTGGCATTCGAGAAATCGAGATTTTAGCCATGAGCGGGCCGTTAAAATTGTGGTTATGTGGTTCTCATGGGGCGTCTCACGCTTAAACTTCTCTTCATTCTGTTTCTACTCTTCACCTATCCTCCTTCCTCGTGGCCTCATGGGGGCGAGATTGTGATGTAAAACCCACAGTTAAAATCCGTCGATATGTTCTAAACTTCTGTTCTCTAGAAACCTTCCAGCAGTGTTTAAGACTACTTGTTTTTATGTGCGCTTTTGGGCTGACCTACCAGTGTTTCAACTGCGTTTTCATTTAAAAACACCGTCACCAAGGTGCACTTCTTATATTATTTGGTGTTCTGTTTACCGATTTTTCAGGTCAACGACAGCCAGCCAGGTGATAAGCAACCTTCTAGCTCGTTTTAATATCGACGACAATCCACAGAAATTCGCACTTTATGAGCACACCATCATTGGAGAACATGAGGGTAAGGATTGTTGTTTTTCGTGGTGCGCATTTTGCCTTCTGACTCGGGTTTGTGGGAATGAATTTAAAATGGTCATGTTCTCATGCTCTCAATCAGGGTGCGTATGCGAATATGAGTTTCACAATGCTTGTTGACTTTGGCAAACCTGTTCAGTACGTTCCCATTGTAGTACGTAATTAAATTGAATGTCCAACTTTTCTCCTTATCTGCGGTTCAGATTGCGAAATGCCTCTCTAATTTGTTGAACACTTATTATTTGGTTTTCTTGATGAAGGACTTGAGTTCGAGGGAAATCCAACTTGCGTGAAATTATCGCTAGCATTTTGCTTACTTTACTGAACCAACAGCATTATGCTAACTTCATAATTAATATTTACTCCTTGTTGGTATGTTTAAATTCTGCGGTTGGCATGGACTCGCCCTCGACTGTTCAAGTAAGCACGCTGGTCGCTGCGGCTGCCCAGGCTTGGTTTTGGTTACTTAGACCACCGTGGATGTTGTAATCTAGCTGCTTGTGCCAGGATGAGACGTGTAATTCTGTCGTAGAAATCCTTTTCTAAGCATACACGGATTTACGTAGTCCCTTCGCCACGGCGTTTCACGTTAAACCAAATGATAATCCGATGTCAAGTGTTTTCGAGTTTGCTTCCATCACCCTCTCACGTGACGATGCGTTTTCAGCGACTAATCTTCGCTTGAGAAAGGCATGCTGTAGTCGCACTTGCTACCGTTCGTCATTCACTGACCCACTCTGTTTATACATCCTGTCGGCATTTGCGTTGTTTACTTGTCCGCCTTTTAAAAACGCACCCGCAGATGTAACCTGACGCAACCCAGTCGACTAAATGATTAGACCCCCATCGCACCGTTATTCGGCACCCTCATCTGCCGAATCGACAGCTTTGGCTGTTCTACGGCTTGCTGATTCCCTACCCACGGTGGATTTAAATGCAACCAGCTGGGTTTTTTCTGCACCCTTACGTGTAATTTGTGAAAGCCGAGATTTCAAATCTTTCTGTATTCGCCTCCTGTTAGCTTTATCCACGATTCATTACTGCTCCCACTTGACACATCGATGTAGTACTCGCAAAATCACTGAGCAGAGAGTAATTTTTTTATAAATCCGCCCAATTCAGTTTGAAATCATTCCGCAGAAACGTAATGTATAACTCCTGTGAGCGTTTTGCCTTCGTTTTTTTAAGTATCGGTACGAAAGCTATTTGACGACGAATCACCATTGGGCCTTTTGCTGCGTTGGACTTTGGACCAGTCGGCTGACTCCGGAGGGGAGGCAGCCTTGGAGTTGCATCGCGATCACTTCAACCGTGTGCTCGCCATCAAGCGAATCGTGCTTCAAGAAAACGAGACCGGCGACATTGAGGTTTGTCTGATAGAACCAGCTTGCCAATGGCTTTTACTCATCACTGGCGAAAACTTACTGCTTCAGGCAACCATCGTTGGTAGTGCTCATTCACGTCGGTTGTAGGAAGCTCCTCCTTGCGCGTTTTTTTCTTGAAAAGGTGCTCTTTGGTATCAACTTTTAACTTTCACAGACTCGATTACATCTGTCAGGGGTGCTTTACATTAACAATACCATGTTGCTTTCTAACTCATGTTCGCTGTTCGCTGCTTTGTACGACGTCGCTCTCAATCCCCTGCACTTTTCTACCTCTTGCCCTGGCTACGTGACTGTTGGTTAATTAGAGGTTTCGTCTATATGTTGGCTTTTTGACTCCTTGTTTAGTCGAATCCTTAACTCTTTTAGCTGTCGCTAGTTTACATAACCTTTCCCATGCTTGCGAGTGAATGATGGTTTGGAATGCTAGTCGGAGACCCAACAATACCAATCTTATACCTATTTCCAGGTGGGCTCAGCAGAATATTTTATATGTTAGTGGATTGCATGTGAGTATTGATCCCTCTTTGAGAACCCCTTCTTTTAACCCTCGCAGTGGACATGTTTCTCCGAGGCTGAACTGCGCACGTTCCTAGGCATCCTAAATCGCGAGGAGGCTGACTACCGCCGACGGATAGAGATGAAATACCAAATTCGCAAGCGTGAGATCCTTAGGCTGATGAATCTGCGATCCATGTGCCACCGGCGGGCCAATGGCAACGCACAATCGGGTACTTGCGTATCCAAAAATGGTACCTTAACGAAAGCCTTTCCAGGTAAGCCGCTGTTTATAGCTCAGGGTAATTGCCATGTGTAGTTAGCTAGCGCCGAGCGGTCGAATGTTGCTTCGTCGTGTAATTACACTCCTTTCCAAGGTTGATCCACTGGAGTGGTTATTTGGGCTTTGCTTCAAGTCGAAAAGCGCTGCGTTTTAAGAGTAATGTCTCACAGGGGTAACAAATTGACACATTCCGCCATTACCAGCCTGAAACGATAATTCTGAATGCACATCTTTTCTTGATTTTATACAAAGTCAGTTACTCATTCATTGTTGCAGTTTTGCAAATTAGTCAATTACGGCTACCGTCGTCCATGTCACAGCCCACCATCGTAAACTTCATGCGTTCCCACAACTAAGGTCTATGTGTTGACAGGTTTAAGGTATTCAAGACAAACAGGGAAGAGTTGTCTAGTTGTGTCAATTTACCTAGCTAATCCGAAAGGTGAAATCGTCGGTGTCTCCCATGTTACAGGCACATACCGAGCCGAAATTAATGCAAGGCGATTTAGCGACTCTCCAAGCGCTGTAACCTCAGTGTCTTATCCAACTTAATGAAATGGCAAGCATTTGAATTTCGTGCCAACTGGCCCGTTAAATCGGATAGTGATTTTGAGATGAGGTGTTTATTCTTCAAACTCCTTCTTTTATCAAACTGTTAAGGAGCAGTCGTGCCATCGCATACTTTGTATTAGCAATAAATCGGACATCATCGTAGGCGGTGCATTTAAATGTAGTTAATGGGGATTTTTTTATGCCGAGGGGTTACTGGTTGGACGTGTTTCCTAGTAGAATTTCTGCACAGGTTCAGGTGCTGAATGCAAACAAGGCATGTTTTTGTTAGCCGAGCATACCTCTTTCTGTTTTGCTTAGCGCACGGTCGAAAATATTGCGCGGTATTGGCGAAATGCCAATTCATAATCTATTGTTTCTAATTGTGGGGTACCATAAGTGCATTATAATGCTCTCTCTTCCATGGTTTAACCTTGGACAGATAAATTGCCTACAGACTGACATTTTATTGGGGTCTAGAATCGGCCTTCTGCTGTTTTCAAGAGGCCGTTGGGCTGAAGGTGGAGCTGGCCTGCGTGATTCCCTCGTGAACTTGGCTAAATTGATTAGAAATAATCGGCCAAAGCATGTGGCTCACCTCACTCGAGTGTAAAACATCTGGAACATTTAACTAGTGACCTTTGTCTAATCGTGAAGTTTTACCTTATAACGTTAGCGGTAGTGAAATGTGCGTTTTGTGGGCTTTCTAATGGATCATTAACAATAAGTTAATGTTCTTTCGTCCCGTGGGACGTAGATTTTTAGTTTAGATTTTCGAATCTGGGTTTGATTGTCCAGTTTTCTAGGTCCCATCTGGTGTCTCCCATGGCCGAAATTAATAATCTTATGTAAATTTAACGCAGCTTTTAAAAATCACCCCTTTTGGTTTTTTCCTCGGTAAGGTGTCGAGCCGAGTTCGCATAACTCGGTAATTGGTGACGATGTTCGCGTGAGCAGTGATGGCGACGGAAGCCCTGGTGTAGCGACAAATTCCACCACCACCTCCACCCCCGACCTCTCTGCTCCAGCTTCCGTGGAAGTAAGGCCTGCACTGAGTTCAAGTCAAACCGAACTGGTAGCAAAAGCTCATCGGTCGAAAAAACGAAGGCTGAAGTCAAAGAAGAAATTGAAGAAATCTGGGCTAATGTCTGCAACTGCTGGTGATAAGGAGATTACCTCAAAGTCCCCGAAGGCCAAATCACCCAGGTGGCTCAAGAAAAAGAAATAAGAAAATCCCCCTTTCGCCTTGCTTTGTACATATTTGTACGTAATCGAATTGCCCTGTGTGCTGGATATTGCGAGGGCTACTATTTTTTACCATGCATTTTATTGTTTGCTCAAGTCTGATCATGTCATTCTCATGCGCTTACGCACGCGTACATACCTCCCAATCGACACCCTCTTATTGTGCTTTCCTTTTAGAACATTCAAGTGTCTTACAAAGCAGTAGATTTTTTCAATTCATGTAGTTTTATTCTTGATTGTTTTTCCTACTTGATGGCCGGCAAACGTCAATCTGGTCTTTCAGGTTTTGAGGTTTGTTCGCTTTTAAGGAGGTGTTTCACCTGAACAATAACCGAAAATAGGCGCAGACTGATTCGGAGGTTATTGGGTCTCGCGTTATTCGAACCACCCTAACTCGTGAGTCTGATCCAGGATATAGTGTTAATTCAAAATCTCGATCCTTGATCACATTCGCAGCGGTGTTCCTTAAAGTGTTAATAACAAAATAAAATCTATTAGTGTTATCCTGTAGCACTGACACACAACCTTGTTTCCTTTTTTGCGCAATTAAGGAGTGCGTACCTATTAGACCGTCAAGCCATCTGACTTCCGTTGAATTGTCTGATTTGCTTTGGGTAAAACTCAAGGGTTGTAGGCCGCTTGGCATTGAAAATGATTTTCTAAAAGCTGCATCGAGACATAATGGTGCCATAAGCATAGTGTGGCAGTTGCACGTATGCTGAGCTTAAGGGTCGCTGTGTGAAGACAATCTCGGTCGACCGATAAGTCTACCCATCGACTAATGCTGCTGTGTCTCCGTCTTAACAACCAGTCGTGTTTCCCACTATTTCTATGCATCTCAGAACTCGACTTCATTTATTTTTAGTGGAATTTCACGAACAAACTTGTTTAGATGTCGGATTTCGGTCAGGCTGGTTAGGACAAAATAAACAGGGCGAATGAGTGGATGTCGTGTGTGTGTGAATGGGCTATGATGGTTGGCGACGATGGCGTAGTAAAGTTCATTCTGCGACAGCGGCGGTTCTCTGTTTGGTCGGAAAAGCCTTGAGGTGTGGATTAGCTGCGTCCTTCCTGCTGGTCTCTCGGGTTCTACAGAGCAGGTTGCGAATGCGTCCGCGTAGCTCCTGCGTGCCCTCATTCTGAGTCACGCATATGCCTGTCACGTAGCCCTACAGCAGGAATCGCGACATCACATAACACAAATTTCCCTTCTAGGTAACACCATCTTGAACCAGCCGGCTTCGTTATTGGCCATCCTACAGCAGCTCCGTGTTTGTCGAGCTCGCCTCTAAATTTACTCAGCATAACTAGCCGTTTGCCCTGGAATCTCCATTACCTACAGACGCGTTTCTGTCGAGTGCCCTTGATATTTTTATGGATTCTATGGAGGAATCCGTCTACCTTGTCAGCCAGATTCACGCAAACCGTGTTAGGGCCTGCAAGGTAATTAAGCCCTGAAAGTTTTGTAGTAATGGCTACTTCCAATCCCAGAACGTGCAGTTTTTTAAAATAAATTTCCAAACATTACCGGAATTAACCGAGGATCGAATTCGCCTGTCACTTCGTATGTGCGTGGTTTGAATGGATTTTGCACTCCTGATAAGGCAGGTACTCTAGCAAACAAATGCAAGAAAGTCCGAGTAATTCATTGTGACATGGGCTTGGGCAGTCATTTTGAACCATTTTGAATCGCATGCAAGATCTTGCAGAATTGTGCTCTGCTCCATTCTGCACTGATCGAACACTGGCTATGCGTAAAAATGAGTGCAAACAACCAAACTAGTGCTAGTATTTCCACTTTTCAAGTCGTCGTCAGGTCTCGATTGTAGGCTGAAGCCAGAATATGGTTTCAGTCGAGAAAGATGTTACCACTGAATAGTCGCATTTCGTGGTTGAAAATCAGGTATTCCGATCTGTTTCGTGGGTGTCAGGATGCATTGAAATGTATCTTTCATTGGATTAAAGGAAAGCCCTTGTTTACCTTGGTATAAGTTCATCAACCTTGGCGGCAACACGATCTGCCACCGGTTCGTTGTCTTCGTTCATTTGCAGGCCCGAATAGCGGTCGATCATCAGTCGGTGCCTCGCCATCTTGTCGTTAATATCCCGTAGGGCGTTCCTCATTTCCTTGAATCCTGACGCGTAGGGCAATTCGTAGTCCAAAATCTTATCCAGACGTGACTACGCATGAGGACAACATTATTTATAAGGCTTCTGTGCAAACTTCTTCATTGCTTCCACCTCCTCTAGCAAAGTTACCTCAACATCGCGAATCTTGCGGCGAGTGCTAATGCGCTCTCGGGGGTCAGCATCCGTGGAAACGACCTGGGCGGCAAGAAAGAAAGTGAGCTGGGGGACTGCCAGACAACAGTTAAAATCCATGTCGTCCATCAGTTATCTTGTGCGTCATGCGTTTTATGCAGCCTTATTGTATGCGCCAAGTGTGAAAACAATTATTATTATGGGATTTGTTGTGTGGAAACGCCAGCAGTGTGACATCGGTTCCACTGTACTTCCCCTCTGATTCCTCCAAGTGTGTATGGTAGAAAAAGATTCGCCAGAAAGTACGCGTCTACATTTGAAGAGGAGGAGTGCGGCATCGTTCCGCTTCGGTTTTGGTTTGCAGATGCGACGTGTGTGAATGCCACATATACACTGGTTCTCAGCATCCAGAGACAATTCTTTTGGAAGGTTCGTGCTTACACCCAGAAGTACTTGATGGCTTAACCAGCAACAGAATTTCCGTCTCTGCATACCTTCACATACTTTTCAGTAGTTCACCCGCTGTTCTCGTTGTTAATATGTGTAGCCATGCTCCAATACAATTAACCTTTGCATTTTGGCGCTATCAACTCCAACACATTGTCACACTGTTGAAGACAGTTAATTAGCTTCCTAACTCTATTAGCCAGTGAGTACCAAATCAAGAGGTCATTTGTCTTTCTCATTATCGCTAGCACCCTTTGACCAAAATTGATCGCATTAAATGTTGGCTTGACCTTGAATAAACCTCTAAGGTGTTGCTAAAAGGGCTGTAGTGGTATGTTGTTTGGTTTAATGGTAAAACCAATTCGAACTGGTGTTTATTTGAAAGATGGGCGGGACCGCCAACCACGAGTTTCAGCCCGTGCTGCTCGTACGAGCCTATCACTGTGTACGAATTTATTTCTGCGTCGTTGCAATTGCTGAAGAAGTAAATTCTGTTTCGAGAATCCGCTTCTTTATTAATGCGTCTACATAGTTAACTGAGGACATATAATCAAGAATTTGAGCACTTTGTCGGGAAAGACAAAGCGCTTAATGACACTAGCCATGGATCGACTCTTTTAATGACTATTCAATATTTTTTCATCAAGGGATATTAGCTGGCGCTTGTGCTTGGCTTCGTGTAACAACAGGTTGATGACTTCAAAAGCGGTCCTAAGTTATTGTTTGAAAAAGCGCATTTTTTCGGAAACGAACCAAAATAGACAGACATTTGTTGGCAGATAACGTTTCAAAGTTGAATGTTTTTACGTACCGTCTCCGTGGTCATTCTTGGCGCGAGCGAACCGCTTCTAGCAGGTGACATCTGTGTTTAGCAGAAAAACAGAGTCTGAAAGTTGCTCATCAAGACACGGCTGTAATTGTACATGCTGACATACCATGCAGCGGTGTTCGTTAAGGTTGTGAGGATTGGCAACTTAGTGGTGATTTTATCACAAATCACTGGCATTTTCATATTAGTGGTAAAGGTATGTGCTTTTGGTAATTAGCGAGAATGATTTAGTGCTGGCCATCAACCTGCGAGGAATTCTAATGGAATGAAATCTTGGTACATTAATCGGACTCTCTGTTTTTAGAGGCTCTCAGATAGTTGTTCCGACATTCCAACTTTAAAGCTAGCGGAGAAAGCGACGGTGAAGACGCTTTGCTGATGCCTAGACAAACGAACACTTTGGTGATTTAAGCAAATGAGGACGGCGTGTTTATTCAATTTCTGCCCTTTGTGCAGGAATTCCCTAACTTTCGGTGTCAAATTTGATTGATTTTGATATAATTTAGCACTCCCTCCCCAAATTTTTCAGGAATTTTGATGAATTTTTATGGATAATATTGTCATATTATTCATAAGATATCCGTTACTTAAGAGGCATGTTTGAGGTCAGATCTTATTAATGCGGTGAATGAAGGTTTTTAAGTGCTTTTCTTCGTTGGCTCAGTTGATTATTCACGCGGAAACGGCTGAAATTTATCATGATTGGTGATTGGTAACTTACACTTAGAACTCATTTTAGCCTCTTTGGGCGCATATGTTTTATCATCAAAGCGCCTAGGTAATAGCCAAATTTTGAACTGTTTAATATGCGAGTCACGGTAGTTAAAGACGCTTTTGTCGCACATACTGATTTCAACGTCGTGGTGTTAAATTCAGCAAATTCGTCAATGTTATTTCTGTACACGTAGGATGACATCGTGCCCCAGCACAGCGACCCAGATGGAGGCAAACAGCATGCATGACCGCCCTGATGCAGACGTCAACACGTGGGCGCATGGAAGGAGGCGCCTCTACACTCCTCTTTAGGCTGAGGAGGGCGGAAAGGAGCTGTGGCAGCCGTGCCTCAACGTGAACTAACAATGACAGCAACAGAATCCAGGAAGCCGTACCCACTTACCCGTGGTGAGGTTAGGAATTTAGCTCCCGGAGTCATCGACCTCACAAATCTAGAACGCACCACTGGGCCTCTCGGGAGCTTCTCATGCAGTGGCTGTGTGTGTGTGTGCAAAGTGATTAATGTGGGTTGGTGTGGTGTGGATGAGAAAATGCATAAATTGAGTTAAAATGAAGCAACCTTTCATTTAATAGATTTCCTTTAAAAAAGGCACTAGCCTCTTTAAGTCGAGCATGTTAGATTTTAATTACAAAATCAGTGGATGCACGTGATGGTTTGCTTCTGACACAAGCTGATCCGTTTAAACAAGATCATCAAACGTCCTCTTAATTATCTACTAATAATTAAAGGCATCCGTCAGAAACCCTCGATTTATTTTCCCATGTAAAACTTTTATATTTTCCACAAACAATCCAAGGTTTCGTGATGAGTTGCCGAACACCGCGTAAGCAGAATGTCCTGGGATGCGTTTTTAGCCAAGGCATAGCGACGTCGAAAATGCCAACCTCGCAAATCAGGCAACGAAAAAGACTGGTGTACTGTGCGTCATTGGAAGTTTAACTTAAGGGTTCCCATCTCACCTTTGTTTTCAAATTAAAAAAATTTTGGAGTAGATAACATTAAAATATTGAAGTCAGTTGGGCGGAGACTTTGGGCGGAATCCAACCATAGTCTTACTATACCCTTAACGCATTGTTCAGGCGTAAAAGCAGTCACCGAACACCAAATGAGGCTTGGTGGTTTAGCATACTGAAAATTCTCCAGCTTAGATGGCCACACATTCCGCGTCTCAAGTGGCTGTTGCTGAAGGAATAAAGTGGGCACCCAAAAATCCTATTGACGTGTGACCTGTTCTTTCGTAGTCGCAGCGTTAGCAGATGTTTGCCCTTTTCGCCAGAACGAAATAATCCTCACCCGTGTATCTCTGGCAAATGCTTCCAGAGCGTTGATTTCGTCCATCACATTTGGAGTTGGAGGAGGGAGGCCAGGCGAGCGATGGCGGACCCTCAAACTCCGCAGTCCAGGCCCAACTGGAGGCGTCGCCTTCAACAGGATTACGACAGCCATTATAAAAGTGTCTTTGAGAGCTTGTACGAGAAACGCGGGTGCTGAACGAAGCAGTCAAACAAAACAGCCTCGAACCAGTGGAGAGCCAAATTTGCGGAAAAACAGGAACATGGCTGCTGCAAAAGCGGTCGATCATGCGCAGTGGAATCGGGCGATGGGAAACAGGGTGTTCTTTTACGACGTTGAATTAAATTAAATGCAAGCACTTCCACCGGTAATGTCTAATGTGTTGCAAAATGAACAAACAGCCAACGCGCCCAAGCTTGAGCTCGCAAAATGTAGCAGGTTCAGTGTCAAGGCAGAACGCTAGTCATTTATGGATGGCAAATGACGTAAATCGAATTTGTGAGAACAACCTCGATGAGGAGGGTGGTAGACGTCTGCTGCAGGAGTAAGCGGGCGGCTTGGCCTGCAAGTTTATTTAATATATTTTGGCCCGCCTTCAAAATAAACTAGGCTCAACGATACGAATCAATTCAAGACAACGTCTCGCGGCTTCACAAATATTTTAGCTTAGAGCTTATTGTTAATATTCGTTAGGGTGCATTTACACAATTTATTCCGCTTATGAATACAACTGCAAGAATTTATCATGGTTGGTTGAAAGAAAGCGTGCACGCAGTTCGCTCAAATTAACGCAATCTCACGACACAGTCCTTTCTCTGCAGTTGTGCAAACATTTGATTAAGAATCTAGGCTAACTGGTTACACCTTTTACCATCTGCCATAACGGTGAGAAATTCTTCTAATGATTTGGTTGGAGTGATTCAGTGGACATTTCCTATGGTGGCTACATAAGAAATTGTATGTTAACAGCACACTGTTCGAGCAATCTAAGTAAATAAATTCTGTGTGAAATGGGATTAATTGGCGTCCTGTGTGGTCTTGAAGAGGCTGTTCACTGTGTTGTTTTGCCTAAAGCTCCATGCAGGAGACAGTGGGTTTGCTTCAACACCGAGAAACTCAGGACCTTAAGGGTTCAGGACTGTTTTAGGAGGTGGACACAGTTACATGGCGCTGTGGTTAGGAGCAGGCGGACATTCCGGTAATAAGCAGCTCTCAGTCTGCATTGCATGGCGTACACAGGTGGAGTGAGGCGTGCGTTTGCATCGACCGCGTGTGCGGTGGCGGGCTTACGCTCGAGTCCGCGTCGACCTCGGAGCCGCGGCTGCCCTCTCTCGTGGACATCGTGGGAGGGGGAGGGGGACGCGCCCCCGCTGGACCGCTTCGCACCGACGAGGCGTGGCTCTGCTAGGTTCGTGTCGCGTTAACCAAAACGACGAGTTAATACAAAAAGAACCAAAACCTTTTTTTTCTTTATAACTTTTTTTAATTACTGCATCCTGTGAATGAGGAAGAAAAGCGAGAACTGCAAAACCAAAATGAATAACACCATGCAATAATAACTGAGTTATTGCCTCGTGCTTTTGCTAAGAAAAGAGACAATTGCCTGAGGTTCTAAAAGTTGTTGTTTTCCATATGGAACGATGTATTTTAGTTGGTCCATCATTTTTTATGGAAGGTCATCACGAAATCTAGATTATTTGAAGAAGTAAGCCGCATAAGAAGCGTCGACTCTGTTCATTCATTTACTGGTTTTTTGCGTGGCACATAAAAAGACGTATTGCCAGGAGAGAAATACTATTGCAGATTTGGTCATGCTTGATATGTAGAACAGGAGAATACATCCGGATTCAGCGTGATAATATGAATGGAGCTTCATATCAAAGTAAGTGGACCATGCAATGAGCAATTTTCTGTGCTAGTGAACATGATAATTGCGCAACTTCGAGTGGGCGCTTACGGTAACCACCAGATCTGACCCGTGACTGCCTTCACGCAAAGACCGCGATGCAGTGGGGATTAGGCCAAGCGAACTCCGTCGACTCGAGCTAATCGAGGCCCTCCGGGGAGCGCTTGGTGGAAGGTCCTTTATTTATTCAACGAAGCAATATAGCAATAGAAAGCAATCAGAAACTTACTAAGCAACCAAATAGTAGTTTAAGGCAGGCGCTACTGGAAGTTGGAACAAGACAAATAGAAAAAGCATTGGGGGGAATTTCACTTACCATAGCCGCATTAAACTTGTTCAACGCATCTTGATCCTTGATTTTAGCCTTCTGTCGCATTGCGTCGCAGCTGTCCAGAAAGTCTGCGGTTGCCTGACGCGCTCGTGAACGAATCTTCTCCATTTCACCTTCATCGACTGAAAAAAAACTTCATCGTGATTTTCCCACAATTTGCTTGGCCCTTTCAAGATTCTACAGTGTGGTGGTAGATGGAGATTGAGTATGATTTTGTTACAAGTAGATAGCTAACAAGTGTTTTTAGTCGAGTGCTAGAACAAAACCAAAATAACTCCACCAAATATATTGCGTGTGGACGAATCCAAAAATTTAGCCCTAAGACTGTGCGCAGGAATAGGCTGAATAGTGTTGCGATCCAAATGTTAATACCCTGGAACATCTTACTTGCCGCCCACGAAGTAGTGGTCAGGTTTTCCACTTACTTTTATTCCACTGGTTGTACAGTCGAAAAGTAAGTCGCTATTAAGAGAGATGTATGAGGGTCTGGCTTGGAGGACGACCTTGAGACTAGATTTTGAGACTTTGATAAAAATCAATCTACGAGACCTTCCTAAAATCGCAATTTTACTTAGTTCGTTCAGCACACCCGACAGGGGTTTCGACAACAGTGATCACTCAATAAGAAAAGCAATTTCTTGTGTTATTCCAAAAAAACTTCAATGCTGACATCAATTACCTAAATCAAAAAAGGGCACAATGAAATTCACTGGGGTGGATTCGTTTTTTTTTAATCCTCAAGTGGTTTGACTGGACTAATGTCCCTTTGCCGGGATTCGCCTTCACAATTTAAAAAAAATTCTTACCAAAGTATGTACATTAGTGTCAAAATGGTTGGCATAAATTTCCAGAAACTACATTCCTGCAGTCAGGGAGTCTTAAAACACGCCGATTCAGTGGAAAAGGTAAACTGACCAAACCCTACACATCGAAACTTGTTATTTACCTGTCTTGATCATGAATGACTCCTAACTCCTGTGAAACGTTGGCTAATGTAACAACGGCTGATTCATATCAGACTAGAAGCTGTGAAAAACCGCACTTGTTTTTAATAAAAACACGATGGTGGCAGGTTTGGCCACCTGAAAGCAGTTCAAAATGCACAGGTTAATCGTGACCACGTAAACGCTCCGATTAACAATCAGCATCAGTTAGCAACCCTCTCCGACCCCTTGTTTGTGTGGTCTTCTCCGTACACACACACGTGGTGGAACACCAATGAAAACAAAACAGGTAATGTGTGATTGGGCAGTGGATGACACCCCCACGAAGGCATGTATAATTGTCGAGTCAACGTAAAGGCGCCTAAATCGCTAAACGTCTGTGTTGGGGATTCAGCATCCCAAAACAATTTTATCTTTTTCATTACCAACTGCGGTTCATGCGCCCTAACCTTCGTATTCACATTCCCCTCCACCTTCCTACTGGTCCATGAACCTTTGAGTGTACCATTTCTCTTGCACGAATTCATGGCCGCCCACACCCCTACAATTTCCTGGTTTTTTGTTATCATGCGCACCAACCTTTGTACTTTTACTGGGCTTCACCTTCCCCTCTTGGCTTTTGCATTTTGACAGCACTTGACGCCTACTTGCACCCAGGTCCGACCACGCTATAGACAAGCGGGCGCATTTGAACGTTTTGTCGTCCTTTGGCTGAGACGATAAACGCCCTCTGCGCGAGGTCCTGTCTTGCATCAGCGTGTGCTTTGTCTGAGTAGTACTGGTGTGGGAGGGCTATCACGTGCTAACACAAGAGGGTCTTGCATGTGCCTCGGGCCCCGTACCTAACTAACTAGAACTCAAGATGTAACTAGTTAATCGTCTTAGCTGGATCACATTTCTTGGGCGCGCATAAAAACCATTTGTAGTGAATGGTGATGATCCACGTCAATCACTTGTGTCGATCCTATCAGTAAACCGTGTCTTCAGACTCTCCCAATTCCCAGGGTCCTCATTGCTCATGAGGCCTCGTCTGAAATTTTAAACCCACACGTACATCTTTGAACGATATCCATGCACACACACACACACACAGGTGAGTGAGGTCGTCTAATAAACGGTTATGCCTCAGTCCCACCTGGTTTTCTTTACTTTCTGTGTGGCGTAGCCGAGTTCATTCAACATGGCGACTCCAACGGTATCACCCGACTCACCCAATGCTTAAAAAACGTTTTTATTGGGTCTGGGTGCAATTTAACACGTACGAGTGACGTTAGCATTTGCGTCCCACGATTTTAGGTTGGTGCATTTGATTTTACCATGACAGACTTATTTGAAGAAGTGATAGGATCCCGTGTTTCAAATTCAACGAGGTCTCACTTAGGTTCCTACTCAACCAACAATGACCATTAAATCGATACCAACTACAAAGGAATGTATTTTCCTTCTGAGTCTAAGGTTTGTTAATGTAACCAGTTTACATCGAGAAGGTAACAGTATAAGTCCAGGAGTACTAAATTTGTGTGAGGTTGCCTGTAGGAGTCCCTCAGTTCTGCCAGCCACTCGAATGATGCTAGTTACAGGACTATTTGAGTCTATTGTCTCAAGAGGTGTTGACGTTCCGATAGCTCAATGCACTACTTAATGGTCACAGATGAGACTCAGGGACTGAAGTAACAAGCGATCATCTATCGTGATATCATAGGTTAATAATGCGAAAAATATCCCTTTTTAATCGTGTCTTCAAAAAGTGCATAATGTCAGCTTCAGGCAAATTCCCTCATTACCCCTCTTACCCACGGCAAATGCTTCGTTTAAACTGATTAAAAGGGGCCTTACTTTGAAAAAAAAAACTCAATTTTTATCTCAGCTATGGAGTGTTTGTGGAAGTTATGTTTTAACTTTATTACTTCAAAATCTGAAGTCGGCACGAAGCAACTTTGTATTGTCAACTAAACCCTTAATACCAGCCGTTTTAACCGTTCCACGGAATATATTTGTCTTGTAGATAAAAAATGTATTATTTCAAGTGTTATTTTACCATGGTTCCTTGTCTGGCACGATCACCTATTTGAAAGTGGGTGAGTCGAGCTACCGGTGTTTGATTAGGAAGCTCAAGCAGAATATCTGCACAAACAACTGGGGGTAAGAAAAACCACACGAAAATCCGGACTGTCAAACCGCTAGTTCTACATCGGCCGCATTGTGACATGCCCGTGTGCATTGGTGGCGCCAAGTATTCAACTAACACAAAAAATTTCCAGTTGTATGTGAATGATACGAGGAAAATGCAGGCGACACCATGAATATGGCGCAATTTATAACTATGATTACAACCACTAGATGAGTACTCACAACTTCAGACATCCACATGTACTTCACAAAAGCTTCGTCAATATTTCAGGTATTTAAATAATGTGAGCAATTTGTAATGAAATTAGGGGAATAATGGAAAATCATTAAGCTGGAAAGCGAGAACAATTGCGTTCTTACCGCCCAATTCAAATGGAGACAACGGACGAGCAGGACGCCGGGTGGCTGAGGTGGTGCTCCTTCTCAAGGGTGGATCGAAATCCAATTCATCGGCATCGAAGTCCGAGTAATCGTCATACGTGAAAGGCTCCATACCCTCCCAGGCGATGCAACGTCTTCCGCGATTTCCTCTGCACTGTAGTAATTCAGAGCCAGCACCCAGTGCACGCTCCGTGGTCGATATCGGCAGCCAATTAACTGCCAGTATCCCAGGTTCGTGCGAGGGTGCGTTGGTGTGCACGCCTTCTGGGCACGGCCGCGCACGGGTGCGCGCGTATGACCATTTTGCCTTCATCTGGTTGCCAAGACCACCGAATGTCAAGGTAATTCACTGATGTCATTTGATTTTTTATAATGTAACTTGTATTTTTATGCAGAAAACAAGTAATACACTGGTAGACACAATTTTCTGATTGATTCGGGGTCATCTGTAAATCCAAAATAAACTGATACCCATAGAAGTTAAATAAAGGCTGCTGACCCGCAATCTGCACTAAAGGCAAGGTCGAAGGATCAGTTATTCCATATTTCGAGTTTTGGTATTATCAGAAAAAGGCTAAAATATTCTTTAGTGGAAATTTGGAATTCCAAAAACTTGCCATTCCACAAGGCCGATCACGAAATTATAATGGGCGCGACTAACCTGAGGCAAGGCTACCAGTTCACACAAAGAAAGCGGTAATGTTAATTGAAGTGATGCGTATATTTAGCTATTCTGATGTTGCGAAGCCTTAGAACAGCTTTCACGATGCTAAGCAGTGATATAGACGTGTTTGTACATCATTGTGGGCGTATCACCTCGTATTCAAATTCGCATCTGTCTGTGCACCATTTCTGGCAACCAGAAGATCAGGCTTAGCCGTGGCTGGCCCGAGTTTGTTTCCTCTGCTACCACCGCGAAGCAAGGTCAACCTAGCAGAGTGTACATCTTTTATTGGTAGAGTAGAACTTTGTCTGTGGTTTTACCTCGGTTGGTCGTGACCAGGCTCTGTGTAGAAAACACATACAAAGTGTCTCAGAGTGCAGATTTTGGTTAGTCTAGCTAACCTCGGCTAAGACAGTTTACCTGAAGACAAAATGCAGCAATCCAGGAGCATGCATTCACACAACCACGGAATCCTCCAGGCTTCAAACTAAAAGCTAGATATTTACATAAATTACTAGCCTCTGATTGCGTTTAAGTCTTAAACATCACAAAAATATATTATTACTATTATTCGTGATAACCTATTTACGGCAATTTATTAATCTATTTAAAATAAACATCGGAATAAATAAAAAGACCATAGGGGCTGTGGTTTGATGCTGCTGTTCGGAAGATCTGTCGCAGCCGAACTTGGAAGGGTAACCTGAGGTGCGACCTACACCAGCGACCAAGTAGTGCAATATTGGGCGGGAAAATATGTCTTTCAGATACTACCCGCGAGTGCGTGTAAGGCATTTTAAAACAAGGACGGCTGTTTTGGCATGGTCCTAGTCTTCACAGCCCTTACAATGACAAATAAAACCAGGTACGCGCACACTTGGCAACCCCCACAATGACCCACTTGGAGCAGGGCTGGCCAACGTGGACAGAAAACGACGCCCCACTTAAACCACCCTTGATGTTGGATGTCTTGTTAAAGTAAGATGTAGAAAGCCAAAGTGCGCATGTGGTTGAAAAAAAAAACGTTGCTTACTATAACGTGTCCATCGGAGTTCTTAGGTGTCGACCGAGCACATCACTGCGTAAATGACGCTGAAACTGTTCTGCTTTCGTAACACTTAATGTTGGACTTGTCTGTGTACTCTTATTTGCGAGTAGCAATACCATTCTCACCCCCCGAAATCCCATTGAATTTGGTAGAAGCGGAGTGGTTACAATGGCATACATTTAGTTTAAATAATGCGAAAGTGCAAACTATTGTTCTCAAATTTCATTTCGTTTTGGTTCCACTCATCTATCGAAATGATCTATTATATTAATGCCACAAAGTTACAATATACCACAGTTTAAACAAAGAATAGAGTCTATCTAAACTGAAACTCCGCAAAATATCATTTAAAAATAGATTTACCAGAGTTCTACTGAATTTTGATATTAAAATTTTCCTTTTGACTAGGAAAGAACACTAAAGTAAATGGAAATAATGCTTGAAGTTAGTTTAAATATATAACAAAGGCATCAATGTGATCTGTTTATATCTTGTAGGAATGCATTTTTTACTCCGTGAACAATCTTACAATTACGACACTGCAGTGTTTTAAAAATTAACTTATCACTGAGTACCCATTAACCAGCATTTTTGATTTTGTCAAAAATTATTTTATTTCAATGTTTTTGCTGAGGCTCTGCCTAAAATCTGTTTTAAAGTGAGCGAGTTCGATTCCCATCATCCGAACCCCCACTACCACCTTTGGTTGCGGTCAAAAGTTGCCTCGCTTAACTGTAAACCGCTAGATGGCCCGTTTGTTTCGATCGAGCAGCAGCTCCACTGGTTTTACACCAGACTCCTGCCGGGTGTGACAGCAGACACATTACGTCATGGATAACCTCGTGAAGACGTGCGCGTCGGCGTCGGCGTCGGCGCCAGGATCAGGCCTCAAAGCCCCACGCCTCACGCGCGCGCACGCGCGCCGCTCGAAAATCGATTTCATCTCAACTGAGCGTGAGCTCGCGTTGCAGTTGATGTTTTTATATGTACGTATGCGTGTGTGCATGTGTGTGTGTGTGTGTGCGTATGCATGCTGCCTCCAGAGCACGCCAAACCTGTTCAAACAAGTGTTCGCTTACCATTAGAGTGGAGGACTTAGTGACCCGGTGCGGTCGCTCCCATTGTGCAGGTGCCTCAGTGCCTTAAGCAGAGTGCAGGCTCAGACCTGCTCCGCATACTATATTTGTGGTTGCGCCAGGCATGGTAACAAGGCATTGTGCTTTTGCAACCGGTTCTGAATTATGTTGGATTTTGACTGTCAACCTCTTTAGAAAGTATTTGCCCTTCTTTTAAATTCTAACGGAAAAGGCGCCCGTTTAAAAATAAACTATAACGGCTGTTTGTTTACACGATCTAAAATAGTCCACATTTACACTTCCATTCGTCTCTATAGGAAAATCAAGAGTGGATGTAACAACTTTTTCCAAAAATATTCATTTTCTTGGAAAAAGTTTCGCCGTTTGATAGAAAAAAGGGTTGATCCATTAAATTTTTGATTTCTATGTTCCCACCCCAAATAGCCGGACTCAAAACGCGTTCACGTGATGTTCCGGGTTGCCTTTTGGTCCCGAAAGATGCATGTCACCGCGTTTTGTGCAACGGGTGGGGTCTGACCCGAAGGTCGCCTGCGTGTTCAACAGCCAGCCCTAGGCAAGCCCTAAGCAGCTCTTCCCCTTCTCACATATGTAAACTCATCTCGTTGGACTGCCCTTGCTGTTGAGGCAAAAATCAGTAGATTTGGTTAGCCCCATTGCAGAATGCTCAAGGGCTGGAAGTTTAAAATAGACCTGTTGCCGCTTTTATTTATAACGTCCGTCTGAAGCCTTATTCTCTTCAAAATTGCAACCTGATTGTAAACTGTAATTTCATGAGATGTGTAACGAGAACTGTGGGTTCACACCATCAGAGATTATTAAGTTACAACTGTCCTATTGATACGTCGACACTTCCTAATTATCAGCTGGCATCAAGTACAACTTTCGAACAGGCAGTAGTAATCAAAACACACACGAGAGACTTGCCAAATAAGCATAATTAAATTACCCCAGTTTTGTTTTTCACGAGGCCCATAAACTCAAACTGATATGTTCCTTAATGGAAACCGGATCTTCTTATCTAGTGCATTAAAATCCGATCGCTTGCCAAAATTGACATTGATGCAGCGTTGAGTGATTCTACAGGTCCCCTTTGGCAGCTATCTTCCAGTCGTCTAGAGAAAAAAACCCCACCAGACTCGACACAGATGTCCAAGGCCACAATTCTAAATGAATGCAAGCTGCAATTTGAAGTTATAGAACGTCTCCACAGCAAGTTGCAACCAGGTAATCAGGTTAACGCAACCCAATGCAGAGCCTATCATATTTTCAATTTACCCGTAGTTCTGCCAGTCCGTTTTTCACCTGCAATTTAGAAAAAAGCTAATGAAAGTCTTGTGCATTGTGACTGTGGTGCAGTCCTGCGGTCTTTCACTTCTTAGCAGTGTCTCTGGTTACCGGGTTCTCAGATCACGGGACGCAAACTCCAACACCTTTGTACATTTTTAACACTAGTATCGACGAGTTATTTTCGGCAGTTTTTGGTGTGCCCACTAAGTACGCGACACTGGGATACTGCCAAGAAGAAATTGTAGGAATTAACGTTTGAACTTCTGAGCAAATAGTTGGCTGTGAACACACAGGCCACAGGGACCAAAAATGCACAAATCAAAGGCAACTTCGAAAAGCGGTGCATCAACGATGCACGTATTTACACCACATTAAGTTACCTCGTTTCATACAAGTTGATTTATGCATTATTTAAATGGCCCTACTAATCAAATTTATCAATGTGCCCTTCCAGAATTTCATAGACACTTGTAGAAGCTGTCCTGTTTTATGGGTGCGGCCATATTATCAATCTCTTGGCGAATGAGGCCTGACTATAGGGAAACCATCCAATTTGGATTGTCACTTGTAACCGGAATTTGTACTCACTCCCGTCCCCTCTGATAGGCTACTGCAAACCTGCAATAGCCAGTGTCACAATTATCGTGAAAACATCATTGAGCGTTTGCTAGAGCATGCACTCACTAGACACGCATTAGCACACTCGCGCACGGCGACACCTGTCATCCTCGCACATGTTGCTGCTTCTCATATGTGGGTGGCACACACCACTTGCTAGCGTGTTTGTGTGTGTGCGTGCGTGCGTGCTATTCCTTGCGCTCACTCAGAGTAGCCATTTGTCAACTCGCCAAAATGGCAGCGGCTTTGATTCAAACGCGCTTGCGCGCCGCCGCGTGCCACGATTAGGCTCGATGTGCGTGTGTGTGCACGCGTCCTTTGCTTGAGTGACGTCACCAGCACCCACGCGCTTTCACGCTCGGCCCGGATTTCGTGTTACAGGCGCGCTGGGTCTTAAATGCAACAAACAGCACGCTCGTTATCATTTGTCTAAATCCGATATATTCATAAATCTGATGCTAGTTTAACGTAGTTTTTGGCACGGAGGATGGTTTTACCCTCAAAGATGCTTCACTTTGGAAACACTGGGCAGAGATTCACTCTAAAATCTATAAATCGCCTCATATCTAAACTGTGAGAGCATGCCCGATTTGCTACGATTCTTGACGAATTTTTAGAGCAGTTAATATTCCAAGATCCTTTAACACCCAACACAACTAGACATAGAGGTGTCGAATTCTTCGTTTATTGAAAAAAACGGAGGTTCTTCAAGTGGGCTTGGAAGGATCCTGCATTGGAATCAAAAGTTTTAATACCTGGATTTTTAGAACAGAATCTGTATGTCTTACGACACTTAATGACGTGGCATAATTTAGCATATAATTTCACAGCTAGCTTAAGATATATGGCAGTTCGCTAGTTAAACGGTCACTTCTTGCCATATCTACGAATCATCCGTTTTTCTCAAATGCATTCTAATCACGAATTCAGATGGTGAGATAAAATTTTTGGTCTAGTACAATACCACAGAAGTGAAAGCCTGTGTTTAAATAGAATAATGTTAATGTAGAGCGTATTAGCCTCCTCAATTACGCGGCCTTGAAGACTCCGGAACGAGCTCCAATCAGGGTGGAGAATCCACGTAGGCATAATCGCATTGTTACGAAGCCAGGAGCCGTACGCGTACCATGTATCAACGCTATTTTTCGTCTCCTCATATGAGTACCGACTTTTATTACATGTAGACCATGAGAATATCCAAACGAAAATGAAAATAAAATAAACTAAGTTTTCATATAAACATCACCTAAGTCGTAGGAGGAGTTAATTTCAGTCAAGTCGGGAGCTTGATTTAAACATGTTTTAAGAACTGTCGCTCGAACTACTTTGCTGGGGTGATTTTAAATACTATTCCTCAATGTTGTGGTTTTTTGGCAAGCACATCAGTTCCCTTTCTCAAATCCGTTAAATATTTTAGTATTTTGATGGCTTTTTTCAGAAATTAATGCCGTTGTTGAAGACACTGCATGTGGAATGGATCCCAATTGCATAATAAAACTCTGCCTGCAAATTCTACTCTACTCGGTTATGAAAAGAAGGAAAAGAATATTCCACCACCGTGAATTTACACTAGTTGCAAGACGCTTGATTTGAGCTGGCAACCGTCCAAGAATCAATTATGTTTGTTGGAAAAGACTGCAAGGGTTAATCGGATTTTCGTCCGAGAATGCTCGTGTTCACCTGATGCCATACGCGCCCCGGTGCGTTGCGAGAATCGAGCAGTGTTGTTGAAGTTGTCGCCATGGGCTTACATCAGCTGTCACAGGCACCTGGAGACACGGCAGGCCGCAGGGCCCTTCAGTGGCCCTCAAATTCAAAGCCAACCGAACTTTCCGAAAACTTTGACAATGGACCGAAACCAGGCAGAACCACAGCCTAAGTAAGCCAATCTCTGCCATTTGTCTCTAAAGTAGGCCTGTTTGTGCCCGCACTTGCACACATGCTAACAATAATTTTTGTGTGTGAATGTCCTTTCACTTGTGGCACGCCCTGGCGTACGACGACAGCACCGACCTTCACTTGGCACTGACCGACTCCGCTAACCCCACGTGGCATCACTCAATAATTACAAGGCTAATAAGGGTTTGCAATCAGTCAAACCAAACCAAGTGAAGCGCTTGCGGCAAAAGTATCAATTTTACTTGCTATCGTATCACGTGACCTCAACTAGCCTTGCAACCGGGCCTACCCCCTCCACAACACGCCCAGATGCCGTTCTGGTGTCGAACGGGGATCCCGTGCTCTTCCCTCAAGCAGGGCATCATCACGAGAGCCCCCATGTAATATTGCTGCTTGGTCTGCCAAAAATTAACAAACTTTGTAAATTTTAAGCACAGGAACACAAACGTGTGGTCTCTCCACCAAAAATGTTCACTATTCCGCAAGTTGAGTTTTCGGAGTGAACTGATCGTAAATGCAAAGCATAATAATTAAGGGTGTTCTGCTATTAGCCGTGCTGAAACCCATGGTTAAAGCATTCCGCAGTACGAAGTAATCAAATGACGATTAAAAATTGATTCTGTGAATGCACATCGCATTAGCGAGGTAATATGTACAGCAAACGTGGTATCTTTGCGCTCCTCAGGACCGTGGTGAAATACGAAAGTTTGTTTCAAAAACGCCAGAACCAATAATTTGTGGGTGTATGATTGAAGGTTGATGGTGGTGGCATGGTGACGCGCCGCGGCGCCTGCGTGACACCAGCCGCCCCCCCGCCCCACTCACTTGGGCGTTGATGGGACCCCGATCAACCGGTGGTGTCCATGTTACTTCGACAGATAAACCGAACATAACTTTGGCAATTCCAAGTGTACGTTGTCACCACGGCTTGCCTCAAACAACGTTTAGCTCACGGACTTGCACTTTTCTCTAATCCTTGCGTCCAATCTTAGGCGTAAATCTAACGGATGTTATGTGAACGGCCCTTTTAAGTGCCATGTGGTTATAATACGTGTACAAAAACATTTGCGGTTCATTTTAACTACCAAAAGGGTCAATTTGAATTAACAAGTTCATGTGTTGCACCGTCATTAAAATTATAAAACTAACACAATATTCTACACGCTGCACTGAACAAAAGCGACGTAGTTGTACACTCGTGGTTGAAACCTGTTTGGAAAATACTCAAGGCAGTCAATGGACACGAGACTACCATGAAGTTGGAACATGAGGAGAACCTATGAGCCATCCTAAACGCAGTTCGGACGTCGCTCAGAGGGAGATTTGATGGATGTCTCTTCAAACGTGCATCATTTTTGAGGACACTTAGCCCATGGGATTGACTGCGAGCTACTGGAAGCCCAACTGGACTTCATGCGGCATGTGAGAGTAGGTTCAGTGAATTCGGAGACAAATCTGGTGAAGAGGAAAGCCGAAAAACAGCAATCTACGTGGATGAGGCATCGTCATGGAATGGGCGAATGTGTAAGCAGCGTCACGTTTTGAATGTGGACTTGGGCACTAACCAGAATGTCTCTTGTGAACCTAGTAACTGTATTTTGAAGTTTAATTCACCACGGAACTAAGGAGATATCAATTACAGAAGATCCAAACAGGGTGTTCAACCAAGGAACATCAGAAAGTATTGCGACAATATGACCCATGTCAAGACAACTGGTTGACATATCTGAAGTCGTGAGACATTGTCCATTATGGTTCAATTAAGAAAAGCGCTAACTTTTAAATGTCAGTGACATTCTTATGTCTCGTGAAGCTAGTTTAAATTACCAAACTTTTGAGAGCAATTTGGGGAATCGTTTTGGATTGAAAAATTGGGTGGCGCTGGATATGTAGCCCATTTCGGGTGTTTCAACATGGGCTTTAAGAGTTGTAAAACAACTATTTTAACACACTAATAGTTTTTTTATATAGTAAATCTCACAAATAAAGCATTTAGTTTTTAGTTTTAACTGACTACAACGTAAAATCATCTATACTTGTCGTGATCTAGCCTTCAAAGCTTGTGGTTAGCGTTCACTGTCAACGAAAGGTCACGTCTGGAAGCGCTGTCTGCAAAACAGGTGACCTTAGAAACAGAACAACTGCTGCCAAAACCAGTTGCGCCACACCGTGATCAGAATCCAATTTTATTGTGTGCAGATACTCACACATACGCACGCACCTCATGCACGTGCCACGTCGATGGAAAGCACGCGCTGTTTTGCGCGCAATCGATTGGCGCGCTTAATGCTTGTATATACACAAATACGCACAGTAGCGGTGCGTGTGCACCGGCACCCAATCATGTGTTTGGATCGAGCACGCGTCCGCACTCACGAACACTCCTATAAAACGTCTTCGCTCTGGTTCCTTCAATTTAATCACCACCACTACGTGGCATGATGTGTCTGTGTGCTGGTTCGCATGCTGGTTTGTAAGTTTTTTTTGCAACGCTTCTCAAAACTCTTGCTGTTTATGGAATCAGTTCTTCTTTGAGTTACCAAAGTCATCAAGTTTCATTTAATGCTTATATGCACCGAACGCTGGGTAGTCGTTGCATTTCCACCTTGCTGCAATTCCGTAGCCAGTTTACAGTGAAAATGCACCAACTATCTGAGAGATCGATGCACTAACCGACGAAGACGTTAGGATTTAAATGTTGTTCAAAGATGATGGGTAGAAAGTGCTTTTTTACAATCAGATGCCCTTAGGACATCCTTTTTTGTTTGTAAATGCATTTTCTGGCCCGTAACTATGAGCAACTAAACGACGTAGTTTATGCCATTTTATTTGTTACCCTAAATCTGGCATTTTCTCCTGTGCGGAAGAAGTGCAATCGATCCTACCTGTTAAGCTCTTAGTCGATGTTGTGAGCGTGATGCCTAATACCACCGGATGATATGTTCGTCGGTGGTATGGACGCGTGTAACTTGTGGTCCTCTCGTCCTACTGCTGCCAGATTCGCAGTCAGGTTGTGCCGAAATCCTGATGTAGTCCAACATGTTCGGACCCAGAGAACACGACGGTGGCATGATGGCATGATGATGGCATCTACAAGCTTTAGCTACGTGGATTGCCTCAAGTTCATGATGTTCCTTTCAAGTTTGACTATTTTTTTAAATTTTATCTTTTTAGTGATATTTTCCTAGTTTTTTGTCAAGTTACGAATCTCACATTCGTTCATCACCATGGTATTATTTTTTGGATAAAATCATTAGACATTAAATGATTTATCTTTTAGGCAAGATTTAAATCCACAGAGCTTAGAAAGTTAAGCTTTTCACGTCTTACGGTCTGATGAAACACTTGATTATTTTTTGTGCTATTCGTCGTGGCCGATGTTTGGTAGTGAATTCTGCATAGAAAGAATGAATTGCGATGGGGGTAAGATCGGTAATCTAATTAAATGTCCATAAAATATTTTTTGTGGTATGGATATTTTGCAATTTTAATGTATTCAATAACTGCCACAAGTCTTCGAGGTGGTTACCTCGTTTCTGCTGTAACCTGTGTATTTGAGTGTAATACGTGCTATTTAACTTCCAGTTAATTGGCTAAGTCTTGTTTATTCACATTTTACAAACAACTAGAAATTAATGTTGTGTCACCTCTATGAATTAACCATATAAGTAACATGAAAACCCAATCACTGATCCAAATGGCTTTAGTTTATGGTGCGTTTCATTGGCAAATCGACGGAGGTTTCAGAACAAGTTAAAAAGACCTCCTCGTCTGCGTCTACCACTTGAAATGGTATTTCCTTTTTCTCGGGATATTGCTTAATGCCTTACTGGCCCATTTAAAAAGCCTTACGGTTCCACCCGTACGTCTTTTCTAGGCAGAAGAGCTTCCTTGGAGTAAGAAATCCAGGAAGTACATTGGCTCTTCTGATTACAGCGCACAGCTAAGCCAACTCGCAGACAACGGACAAGTCTTTCTAATTGTCGGAAAAAATGGAACCTGGAGTTACGTCTCAATACCACGACAGTTCATTTTCTTTGAACACCAATATCAAAAAAGGAATCGGGATGCAAGTGGATTGTGCAAATAGAAACAAGTAATCTTCAGATGAAACACCATATTTCTATGATTGTGCTTGAGAACTCAAATAAAACTGGGTGAAATCTTCAAAATACTCGCCTTATTATTAAGCATGACCCTCATTAAGTAAGTTAGACGAGGAAACTGACATTTTTATTTCGATCGCCTAAAGCCTTATCCGTTGGACTTTTAGACCTCAGTCCAGCGGTATCAGGCAGTTCCCAGCGTGCAGTTCGGCACACCAATACAGTACGTTGCTATTGGCGACATGGTACACTCGCGTGTCCAATAGGGCACCTGGATCTCAGGGCCGGCTCCCAGAAACAATGCGAATTAGCCATTCAGCATTGGGGGGCGGGGGTGCAAAAAGGTTACAACGTCTGGTCGAATGTGGGCTTTAGTTTGTGAGGCAGAAAACACCCAATCGCATCGCTCATGTACTTTGCATCCCACCGTAGGTGCCGTTTTCGTTTGCAGTGATTGGTGTTGCCGACTTCGAGAAAGTCGGTGCTTGAACGACATTTTGGAGTTTGGCTGTGACTAGGTGTCAGGAATTAAACGGCGGTCTTGCGGGTTTAAGGGTGTGAGCCCTGATTACGCGATTCGTCAAAGATTGACGCATTCAAACGAACGCTTAGTCTTCCAAGTAAGCACTCTTATGAAATCATCTTCGGTATTGTGTTATACGCATTACGGTGTATGTTCGCAGTCCAAGAAGAAGAGCAGAAATAGATTGCCGTCAGGACCGCGAAAACGCCTTGTTGGACGGTCACGTTGCCCATATGGGGTGATTTTAGTGGTCAGCTGAACTTAGCTTGGGAGATATGATTATCTATCACAGGAGAATAGAATACTTTAAGATCTCTGAGAAATCATTGTGCAAAATGCTGCAGAAAAGCCGTGTTTATGAAATCCTATTCCAATAAACAGCAAGCAAAATCCGATGCTGATATCTATAAACTGGATCTAATCACCACACGCCTAGTTCAAGTTGTTAGTGGCCAAGGTTTTCGTTTTGATCGAAGAAAATTCTGTAATTTCTGACTTTGGCAAACTTGAGCTGTACTTCAGTGATAGTGGAAATGGAGGATGGGAACTTGCAAACCGTGGTAGTTTAAAACGACTTTATTTACGTTGTCGTTGTGCTTGGGCAATTACTATTCTGTGTTTATGCGCCTACGATCATAACCAGGATATACCGGTAGCCGTTTCGGCAAGAGGACCCATGAGGTCCAGCCCAACTAACTCATTGGGGAATCCTGCTGTCATGGGTTGTAGTGGGGCTTTGGCCGCACGAGGTGGCGCCTTCACTTCCCCGCATCGATGACATTTTGCACACATGTCGTTGATATCTTCTCGCATGGCAGGCCACCAGTAATAGAAAAGAAATTAAACGAAAAGCACAGTTGGGTTAAACAATAATCCTAAGTTAAAGAATCAATCGCATTTCCCAGGATTGTGCTTAATACGCAACAGGTCCCTGTGAAATGATTGCTTTATTCGCGGGTTTTATGCAACTAAGGAGCCCACTAAGAGCTTTGGTTGTAAAAATAAGCACACAACAGGACTGAATCTGGTACCGAAAATCAGCTTGCCAGGAGGAGGCACGTAATTAGCACCACTCCGCATGGAAATGTGGGAAAGAAAAACTGACAACTTAATTTCGACGAGTAGGAAACGCCACTCTCTGCGATTGGGTGCCCCGAGGCCTGTCTTCGGTCAGCGTTGTTGGCTTCGTCGAAACGCATAACTGCTT